AGCAGCATTTGAAATGTCAACCTAATTTCAAAATTACCAGTATTCAAAAACAGAATAAACACAAATTTTTCTTGTAAATTCTCAAAAATCTCTTAAGCCTTTGCTATACATCAGCAGCTGAACAATTTCTCATGTGACTCTCACCAATTATATGTGTTTAATATGAGTCCCCATCTCAACTAATGCACTTCTGGTAATTAGGATCCACACCATCGGGCACAAAAATGCAGACAATCTTGCTGCTTTACATGACTTTTTCAATCTTCTACAGTTACATTCAACCAGTACATAGCTTGCAAGTAGAGCTTAAAGCAACTCTTAAATATATATAATTCATAGAACTGTTTAAATAAACTGCATTTGGGTTGCCAGGTGACAAATATGCACAGAAAGATGCATACAAGCCCTATATATAATAAAAAGAAAGTAATGCCAGCTTATTTTTAATCTCTCTGACCGAGTATTAATGACAACAAATGTTTGTTTTGAGTGTACAGTTACTTGATAGTTCATCAGCATTCATGGATGGTAACCCTGCTATTGCTACTAATGGCTTTTCTCTTTTTCCTGGCATCTGATGGAATGAGTATCTTATTGACATTTATGAGGCAACTTTTCTTTTCCTCACCTAAAAGCTGCCCTTCCATGCAGGACTGACCATGCCAAAACACACACCTGATTTATGTGGTGGATTTGTTGCAGCACAATTGTCACTACACATAGTCATAAATGATTCAAGAAACCCATTAATACCTCTAAATCAGCATTCAAAGCTGTTTATTTAGATGTAGCCAAAGTCATGATGTTTCTGGATAGATCCCAGCCTGGACAATGAGTTCAGCCTTAGCTCTGCCAAAGACAAGCTACTTTTTTTCTTCCAGGTGCTTGTCTACCACAGAAATTACTTAACACCTCAGCTGTCATTCAGTAACATTATGAAAACGTCTCAGCTTCTTTAGCCCTTTTCTGTAGACTGTGGATGGCACCAGTTTAGTCCATCAAAGCAGTGGGGTGAGATTTTCCACTGTGCTCATTTCACTGGACTGGTGTGTAATTGCATTCAGAGGAAAATAAATCTTTCTAGAATAATCATGAAGCTCAACAACCTTTAATCCAGCAGAGCACACTGGAATCACCTCCTTAAATAATAAATACACGTCTAATAAATAAATGTCTGAAGGAGGCTTTATGGCAATAGAATCCCATTAACAGGGGTCAGGGTTTTACATCAAGGCCTGTTGGAGCCCTCTCCAAAGCAGTAGGCTGCTTTTCAGGTCTACTGTGGAGGTTTTGCTTTCTTATACAAGCGAATGTGGTTCACCTCAAGGGAAAAGAAAACAGATCATTTGATGGTTCACAGTAGGCCTGCACGTCACACTGCGAACCATGAAGAGCTCATGGAAATACTCTGGGTGGAAGGCACTACAGTCTAATCCAGCAGACCTTTCCCTGGAGCCAGCTCTGGGGACCAAGTCTATCAGAGAATAATAAAATGGTGATGGAAAAAAAAAAAAAAAAAAAAAAAAAAAAGGTGGTAAAAAAAAAAAAAAAAAAAAAAAATGCAGCAAGATTAATTAAATAAAGGGCATCCTTCCAAAAAAACAGTAACAACCCTGTGAAATGTGTTTTCAACACCACAATACTCCTTCTCTGTTTTGTTTCACAGCAAAACCATTACATGTAAGTGTTGCTTTGAAACACCAGGGAAAGACACTGATGAATGTTACACAGCAGACCAGAGGCTGCCAAAACTAACTGATTTCTGTTTAGAGACCCTAAGAGTGAAATCCCTGTGAAGTAGCAGAGCTTGAAGAGTAATTAGCTACAACCATAACAAAACAGTGAGCTACTCACCACTCAAATCTCTATGACTGCTCTGTTGTTATAAGTGACACTGATCTTGCAGGTTGCTGAGAATGGACTGGCAATGAAAAGAATTGCTTAGCAGGAAAACAACCAAATTAGTAAGATGCAGAAAGGTCATCTGTTATGATAAAAAAATAGTCAATGTTAGTGAACACTGATTTACCTGTTCCCACATTTTAAAGACTTTAGGCAAAATTTATCTTGTTGGGAAGATGAAACAGGAAAGCCTTACAAATATGATTCCCTGGCAAAAGACTTTGAGAATATAGAAACTATAAGCAAGATTGAAATGAAAGCAAGCTTTGAGATAGCAAGCCTTAGTTACTGAACAACTGGAAAACAATGATATGGCCAGCTGAAGGTAATCCCCTTTTGGTGAAAACATACCCTCTGCTTGCAGACACGTCCAAGGGTCAGAACAGACCCTACTAGCCTGGCAGAAGGGGTCCAAAGAGTAGTTTTTAAGGTTTAAAATGTAACGCACTATGATAATGTTATGATTCTTATAGGCTGTATGTAAATGCTATAGAATTTGTATCTTGTACTAGATTGGTTAGTGAAAATTAGAACATTCAGCACAGAAGATTTATGGTATTGTAACAGGAACTTCCCTCTCTTACTCTTGCCCTCTCTTGCTCTTGCCTCTCTCTCTTGCTCTTTCAGGTCTGCTCTGAGCAGCAGCTAGAAGCTCTAAGACCCTGCACCCACATCCTTTGTAACAAATAAACCACATATTCCAACACCTGACTTCAGAGATCTCGTCTCCATCCCTCCCAACCATCCTGCCAACCAACGCTCCAATAGACCTAAATATCAGTATAAAAAAAAAAAAAATTATCTAATTGATCAATTTCACTTAATCTGGTGGGCAGACACCTCTGGTAACTGTGTCCCAGCAGCTGCCATTTATCATTTCACCACCAATGGTTAACTCAGGTTGTTGGGATTGGGGAGTTTTTGCTTTTTCATCAGCTAGACAGAAAGAATTTTCTCATATTTTTTTTTATGCCTTGCTTATGAGAATCTTTGCTAATATATTCCTATCTTTGCCTGAAAAAAAAAAAAAAAAAAGTAACAGTGACCAGAAGTTTAGTCTGCATATCAAATGAAGGCATGCTCATTTGTTGTGTTTTCTACACCTGCTGTGTGAAATGGCAGAGTGGTGAAGTAACAATAGATGGTTCACAGAGGTGCTCAACATTGTCTGGGATCAGTAATGTTACACTTCTAATAAAGCACCCTGTAAATACCTTACAAAACCTCATAAACCCCAAAAATACCTTTTTTGGTTCTTCTAGGACAAAAAGGATAGAACATGAAAAGAAACATTTTTATATTATAATCACATATTAAGTATAATTAATCGCTAGAAAGGTAAGGGTTTCTTATTTCTGTACTTCTGCCCTGTTTTCTTGATAATTTTCTTGACAATGTTGTTTGTAAGCTAATAAAAACTGCTTTTAGCTTACAAAAAATTGATTGATCAGAAGTAATTATAAAATAAAAATATAATAAATCTGAAATATAAACAGTATAAATTGGAATTGAATTAATGAAGTCCATGTTGAATAAAGTATTGAGGAATCAGGTGTTTGATATGGTTGATCATGATTTTCCCTAACCTTCAGTCAAAAAACACCTCACAAGAAAACACCTTTAAATTCTGCAGAAACTCAGTGCTAGATTTCTTAAAACTCATGTGCATTCTTTCCCTAGGACTTCTAAGAGACACATCTTAAAAATCATTAAAACAGCCAGATCTAGTTAAGTTATCATAGGCCTTTGGTAAATATGAAAATATAACAGCGAGGCTGCATTTTATTGAATTTAGTCTACTTTTTATTGGACATATTTCAGCCAATTGCCTTTTTGACTATCCTGGCCACCCTTTTGAGAATTCAGTTTTTCTGTAATTTCAACACATCAAGAGAGCAAACTTGGAAAAATGCCTTTCCCACCAAAACTACCCTCAAATTGCAGAATCAACACTGAACTATTTTGTAGTGATTATTTCAGCGACAGGATTTGAACTTAACATCCTCTGATCCAGGGGACTGAGATAATTTATTCACTCTTTATGAAAATAAAACCCAGCAATGTCCAAAGGAATTACTCTCTTCTGTAGGCTGAAACAATTATATAAAATGGTTTCCCTGTCAGCCATGGGAACAGTAGTCCTTTTGACATCACCATTTTTTCTAATACTGTCAACCATCAGTCTAAATGAAAATATTAGAATTAAGCACTAGTGCCTCAGACCTGCTGACTTGGAAGTGTCAGTATAACTGCACAATTTAGTTAAAACATCATCTTTCTTTCTGAACAATTACTCTGTTTCATGGTTATTTGTATGCTGTAACTTCTGCAATAAAATGCATCAAAATCCAAGCTTCAGAAAAGTCTGGCTTCAGGTCATTTTGAAGTGGAAAGAGAATTTTTTGCCCTATTATCTAAAGAAGTTTGCCATGTGACACAGTTAACAAAAGTTTTGGTAATCAGACTGTGCTAAATGTTGTCATTTTTTTAAAGACTGATTTTGACGTTTCCCAGGCTTTGACATCACAGATACACATGGGGAGGCACTTGTTCCCTCAGAAAATGTGTAGAGACTTTAGCATTAAACTGGCAAGATTTGGAACCCTTGGCTCCAGAGTTTATCAGCAGTAATGATAATAGAAATTACTGAGCAGAGGTTTGTGACCTGGACAGCGTGGTGGCAAAATACCACAGTCTCTCCCATGTTACAGCTCCCAATTTACCAACACACAATGACTTTCTATATTACTTGTCTCACTCCTCCTCACTGTCAGAAAGTCTCTTGTGTAAGCAGCAAATGCATTAAGTGTTCCCTTGCTGTTGACAATCCCCTTTTCTGCTGCCTTTAATCAGTAGCAGGGTTATCTCATTAATCTTCACTCTGAGAGAGGAGTCATCCAACCTACCTGCTCAAAACTCATTTCCTCCAGATCCCAGCAGACAACCAGTCTTTCCAGGAGCTACCTCCTCTGATTTCTCTTGGTAAATTCTCATAGCAATTTTTCCATCACATAGGATACTAGACAAGGAATATTTCCAGCAGTACTGTATAGAACAGCAATGAATGCAAAGAACAGCAGCTGGGAAGAAATGTGTACCTGGGTTATTTAAAAACCTTTCTGAATCTCCATCTTCAGTAAAGATGAATTTAAGCTGTGACAGAAACAAGGTCTGTTTCTACAGGGCAAAACAATCAGCATCGGTGCAGTCTGGAACTTGTTGCTCTAGCTCTGAAAATTAGAAAAAAAGTAATTATTATTTACATTTACAGGAGCAACACAGGCATCAGAAAAATAAATCTGCTGGAAGCTGTAGAAAATGTTGACAGAAAAATAAATGGATATAAAGTCTTTAAAAATTAATGCAGATGGCAAATTTAAAACAAAGAAACCCCTTTCTAATCTTTGGAGTGGAGGACTGTTGGAAGAAGGAGAGCGGAATGGAAATGCTTTCTACTTTCTCTCAAGAGTTTATAACTTCATCAACAGAGCTGTCCATTGGAATTGCCTATGGCAGCAATGGCCTTGTCTCCTTCAGGCCTTTTTTGTACTCCTTCACCCAAATCCACTACTTCTCCAGTCATCACTCAGCTCCCCTGTGGCAAGCACATTTCTCTCCCTCTACTTTTCATAGAGGTGCACAGAGAGAAATGAAAAAGAAAACAATTTCTATTTCTGTTCCTTGTTTTTCCTATGTGGAATGTGTTTGGAGAATTGTTTACCTGGAGTGAGTGCTTGATTGGATTCTGGTGAAGATTGTTTGAGCCTGATGGCAAATCCAATCCACCTGTGTCTGGACTCTCGAGAGAGGGTCACGAGTTGTGTTAGAGAAAGTAGTATGTAGTTTTAGTATCCTCCTTTTATATTAATGTATTTTAGCATAGTTATAATAAAGAAATAATTCACCCTTCTGAATTGAGTCAGACATCGTCATTTCTTCCCATTGGGTTCACCTTCATTTACAATACTCCCCCACAGACAGGACAGACATGATGGCAAGAAACAATCTTCTCATTTTTTTTCATACTGTACTGCCACCTGCTTGTCAGGTGCCACTGTTGAGTGCCTCTTCTCATTTCATATCAGTTTTAGTAATGTTTTATAGTATATATCTCTGCAAAGAGGGAACTGGGACAGGATTGTCCCTCTTTTGTTTCAGGAAAACTGACCCTTCCTGTGCCAATTTGTTTCCAGAAAATAAGAAAGCAGAAAACACTTTCAAAAGGACAGGGGGAAAAGGCGTTATTATAGCTTAATTTACTGTTAGCTAGGTAATTACATTTCCAAAACATTTCTGAAACCTTTCCTTACTGCAGTTCTCAATTATCAAGTCAGAGGACACTGGAAAGTGATAATTAGGTGTGAAACACCACTCATGCCCCTGCAGATAGCCTTCCTGACAGCCATTTAACACTTACTCTGGTGCCAAAGCTATGACTGCTGAGTTTTTCAACAGCATTTAGGTGCTAATAAATTATCCAGCAGTTTGAAAGCAATGACCTGACCTGCCTAGATGGGAGAGTTTCACTACTGAGGTCATGGGCAGCTGTATCCCTGACCTGCAGAAACCAGACCTACTCCATCCAGGGGAGGGTGGGATAGGCTTGTTGGCAAAGCTGCTCTATTTCCACAGCAGCAGAGGCACAAGCCAAGGATGGCTGTCCTGCACTTCAAAATGCCCTACTTTTTGAAATTGAAAGCTAATTTATTTGTGGGATTCAGTCTTGAGATGCACCTTAAGTGTGTCCAGAGTTTGATACTTGCCAGCTGGGATTATCCCATGCAGATACAGTCGTCGAGACAGGTAAATTCCTCTTGTCCTTTTTCCTCATTATTAAAGGCTGCTTAAGTACAATTTACCTAAATCCTTTCTGAAGCAATACTAAGCCAAAAATGCTGCCCCACCAGTGACTAAAAAGATGTCAAGAGTTATAATTCTTCTGAACTATGTATGTTGCATTCACCTCCTCAGTTTATAGCTAGGAATAACATTTATGTGGATTTACAGTTCAAATCAAGAGTACCAAAAGTCGTTCAGCATCTGAACATCTACCTGGCTGCTAGCACACATTTCAGAGGCACTAACTGAGTAGACATAAAGATGTCATGTCAAAATTCTCCATCTGTGCTGCATAAACCAAGCCCTATCCCAGGACTGGAAACTACTTACCACTTTATGACTCTTTGTCATAAAAGAGTCACATGCTTTGTCATATGCTTCATTCCCTGTTCCTGGAATTTGCTGTGGAAGACACACGGCCTCTCTGCATAATTTAATCTGGCAGGATCAGAAATGGGCTCAACTGAGCTTACATGTGGCTGTCACTGGTAGAGATGGAAAAATCCACATGCCCATGCATTCAGATATATTTTCCAAGCAAGTGCCAGCTACATTCAGAAGCTGTGGTTATTTTTCACTCAGCAATGGTATCAATCAGAGATTGCCACTGTGCAGGAATATGGCATCATGGGAGGAAAAAAATCTAATAAAAATGAGATAAAGGCAGGACCCAAAGTGTTACAAAACATAGGCATGCCTAAAATAGCTGTTTATATTTGCCTTAGGTGCTTCAAGGCATCCTACCTGGCATTCATCTGCTGCCTCAGAAGGCTGCAGGCTTTGGCAGGTCCTGTGTCTTACCCACCAACTCCAGTGACTGCTCTGGTGTACTGGGAAGGGCTGGGGTGAAGGCAGCTTTCCTGTAGGGTGCTGTGCTTTGAACTGGCAGCTGAAGCAGTGCTGATAGCACAGCAGGGGTTGTATAGCTCGTGAACACAGCTGGCACTGCAGCAAGTTGTTCTTCCACTCTTTGCTCCCAGTGAGGTTGTGGGGAGTGCTACGAGGGGACCCAGCTGGGATGACTGACTCCAGCTGACCAAAGAGCAATCCCATCTATGACACTGTGCTCAGCAATGAAAACTCAGGGAAAGAAGGAGAAATGGGAGGTGGATTTTCATCATCATTACATTTGTCTTCCCAGCTGTCACATTCTTTCCTCAAAATGGCTGAACAACTGCACACCAATAGGAAATGCTGAGCATATTCCTCTTTTTTGTTTGCTTGCACACATAGCTTTTGTTTTCCCTATTAAATAATAATTATATCAACCTGTGAGAGTTTTTTCTCTCTACTTTCTCTCCATCCTGCTGGGGAAGAGGGAGTAAGTGGGTGGGTATTTGGCCTTTGGCCTGGGGCAGCCCACCATACCCAGACTCCTAAAGGTACAACTAGATATCTATATTTAGGCATAAAACTTGGTCTCCTACTGCTCACCCTTAAAGAAGTTTTGGGTCAGAATAACAGGTGTACAAAACCCAAAATACAGTAGAGATAAATGGAAATGAAGAATAGCCACAAAAACTTTGCAAATACTCATTGTCCATTTTTGTATGGTAACTTGAAGAATATGATGGGATAGAGGCTTCCACATCTTACACATCTTCCATTTCTGTACTACCTGAATCCAGCCCTGTCTGTGTCTCTTTCCCTTCCTGATATTGTGTTTGCTCCCAACTCTTGACCATCTACCAGGGCTAAAAAGAAGAGCTGCAACCAGTTCTCTGCACTGACATGAAAAGTGCTGGCCTTGCTCACTACTAAGTTTATTTGGGGATTCCATTTTAATGGCAGCCCCAAGGAGAATTTCTCACTTGTCTGCTTCTGGAAGAAACTGAGCCAAATGTCATACAAAAGTATATTTTCTCTCTATAGCAGCATTGTCTTTGGTAATCAGGGCTCTCTGCTGGCAACCAAACATCTCACATATTGCAGCTCTTCTGTGAAGAAATGAAAACAAACGGTTGAGGAAAAATCACTTCAGAAAAAATTTCACCAAACTGAAATGGTTTAAGGCTCGTCTTTCTCTGTAAATAAAGTGGTGAAGAGAATGAGATATTTCAGTGAAGTACTCAGCCGCAGCAGAGGTACAGATGAATGGAACTAATGTATGTGCAACTAGAAAATGTTGAGTAGGGAAATTGTTCTACAAATGCCTTTTTTCCTTCCATCTGATCCCCCTTGTACATGCATTCCTCTGGAAAAGTGCTGTGTTGTTGTGGCAAAGGTATTTTGCAAGTATGAATATTGATCTATCCCTTAACAGAGGGAAGTGCCTGAGGTGCAATGTAACTCGTGCCATTGTGTTGGAGTGCTCAGTCAGTAAGTTTTGTGCAAAGGAATTGATTGGGGATTTATACACTCTGACAAAGCACCTTTGTTCCATCTTCCATAAGAAAATGCTTTAGAATTCAGTACATTATATTTATTATACAGATATTTTATATCTGCTATGCCAATATAAAAAGACCTTGAAGTAAGTAGAGTGGATATCTTTCAGCCTCTTTACATTGCAGTAATATCTCATTGACATTTTATAGAATAATCTATGAGACAGAGGCTATTAATATGTTAAATATTAAGGCAAGCTAAAGATTACACAGCTAAAATGGGTCTGGCCTCAAAGGAGAACAGATGAGGTGACATTTTTCAGCTACAGAGTAAGTGACATCTTGAATTTTCATACAGAAAACGTGCAGCAGCTGTACTTGAGTTTATTTACTACACCTGCACATACGTACAATGCTACTTACAGAAAAAGTATTTCAAGAACCTGGAAAGGGAAACTGGATGGCATCATCCACACTTTCTGACTTCCATCAAATAGACAACACTCTTTCTAGTCACCTTACTTTGAATCAGATACTATGGGAAATATTTTCAGGCCACTTCTGATTGACTTTCTGTTATAATTTTAAATGGTGATAAAATGGCTGGAGTCATTACAAGTGAAACTGTCAGGAAGTGGATTTTCCATTTTTTTCATAGCTGAACAGCATGTACAGAAGAGAAAGATTTAAGTAAAAAATGGCAGCGATGACTAAGAAAGTTGCTGATCTACTAGATCAAAGGAAAAAATGCTGATTTAACCTGAACAAGAATCTAGAGCTTGTATTTTACACCTTTTTTGTCTACTTTCCACTATTAAAACTATCCAGATTGGAATTTTGCTTGTGGATTCAAAATGTAAAGATATTTTTAATTATATCAATAACTCTGAAAAAAATCTTTAAATTAAACACTGTATCAGATTTGGGATTGAACACTGAATTTTAGTCCAGAGGATGAAAATAACAATTTTATCTACAAGGCGAGGGTTTCAGAAAGCATACCCATTTTACAATAATGGTTGATTAGAAACCAACAGCATAAAATATTTGTTAAACTT